TGGTTATTCTGGTAATCGAGTGAATAGCGCTTATGCTGGAGGTACGACCGGTAGCGGTAGCGGGAACTTCGGTCAGGCTGCTTCGTCGTATCCGTGTGGCGGTTGGGCAGCGAACAATCACAATTGGAGATTAAGCAATACGGCTTGGAGTGGAAATCCGATGTGTTCTGGAGGAGCATTCATAAATCCACAAAATAACGCGTTCACTGGCAACAACGCGTTCAATCCAAATTTCACATTTCAACCGATCAATCTGGCAAACTTAAACAATCTCCAAAACACACTCAGCAGTTTCAATCAAGCGTTGAGCAATACATTGAGCAATCTCAGCTGGAGTCTGAATCACTTGAACAATATCATCAGCACGAACTGGAACACCAGATTAGGTCAGCTCGGTTCGGCAAATGCCAATAGTGCACGCTTTGCAAACGCTCAATGGAATAATGCTGGCACAGCGTTAGCAAACAATCAAAAACTTTCATTCACATCCGCTAACATGAACGCCGCTAATCAACCTAACCGAGTCGCAAGTTTTCACGGTTTAAATAGTCAATCAGGAGTTAACGAGCTGAAGACTGCGTCTGAAACGGATGCTTTGCTTGGAAAAGATACAGCTGCTAAAGTAAGATTTGTGTTCAAGAGATTTATCCGCTCATTTTTCTGTCTTCTTTGAATTGATCTCCCGTTGCTATCTTAAAATACCGATTCAATCCATCTAGATGGAATATTTTTCGGACATTGATCAGGCGGATTTCGAAACAGTATTGGAGAATTTGAGCAATCGAATCATCCACTCATTTGATCTTCAATGATTATGTCGACCTAGTCACTAGAGACACAATCTAAACGAAGATATCTTTTCAGAAGCACGATGATTCTTCAGTATCGGTCTATGTAATGGATCTGGCCAGAAGTGCATGATTCCGCGAGAAATTCAACGCCATACGATGAAAATTTCGATCGTGATTTAATCGTACGGAATTGCAAAAGCACTTCATAAAATAACCACTTTTTCATTGTTTCTAAATTCAACTTGTAACATACAATAAATAGTAGACAAGTGATCACTGTTGCTCATATCATGCTTATATTCACTAATAATAAAGATCCTTCACACACACAAACAAACTTACAAATTTTATTCGTCAAACTTTGAACTGCTATGCAAAGAAACATTTCTCTGAAAATTATGTAACATCTGCAAGATATGCCCTTTATCGGCAAGTATGTTCTCGAATTTATGTTTTATTCATTTTATGTCCTTTCGAATCGCCTTTCGCCTTTTCAAAAATCGTCCGATTATTTCGATTATTTCACTAACAACTTCGCAGAGGAGTTGATGAATGAATTTTGCTGATCCTCCAGTAAGATTCTTGCCTCTTCAATTGTTTGGAATGACATCCGTCGATGAAGGTTATCAGCCTCAATTTATGGAAAAATTACCAAGCGTTTAGTCAAATTTCAAAGAATATGCAAATATACGTAAGTGTTGATGTAAAATACTGGTTGTTTAACGGGTTTATTCGAGTATTCACTTTCACTTTATATTTTTACTTATCTTTTGGGGTGGTTCGTTTCCAGAAGGGGTGGTGTACTGAAGAAGAAATGACAGTGAAAAAAGGGGCGCAAGAGACACAACAAGTAATCTTGCAGTTGTTCAGTAGTTTTCCATGACTTATGTTATCTTTAAATGCCGTAAACAATTTGATTCGGTTGATCAGTGAAGATTCAGTTTGTTGTGAAATAACGCTTGCAGAAAGGATACAACGAAGGACAACGTCTCCCGGTGTTATCTCTGGATGAGTTCAGTGAATCGTCGTCACCGACCGACATGGATGCTGCCAGTCCAACGGCATCGGACCGAGATAGCGATAACGAAACTGACGATAACAATAACAGTACTAAAAGCAAGGATGAGATCGTTAGCATTGCTCTAATTGATGATCTCATCGAACGACTCAATAACGCTAAACTCCGACCGGATCCTCTCGCAAAAGGTGCAATTTTCTCGAGAAAAAGGTCTGTGCATCAATTTCATTATATTTAGTGTCTCAACTTCATAACTTAATTACATTTATTAGTACTAATTCATAGCGTAACAAGATTATGCTCTCTCTAATTCTGTTTGAATCGATAGGATAGATATAACAAAATTTTGTTGGAACGTTCAAGTACACTGAATCAATTTGTTTCACTTTCAGTGGTCTAGGAGCAGCACCAATAATGCCAGTGGATATAAAATTCGATGAGTTCAGAAAATTATGTGAACTAGCCGTTGAGTCATTCGCGAAACAAAAATCGCTGTTACGTATCACCAAGTTCGATTCCAATTATAATACTGATAAATAATCAATGGGCTCTGTTTTTGTTTCATATAAATCTTCGATTGATATGTTTTCTTTCCAATCATTCCGCCGAAGATGTTTGCGTTTCGTTTGTGGATTACGCGTATTTATTCACGAAACTGACGGCGATAAGATTTATATGAGTTGGTCTATTTAAAGACAATCTTTTTAAAACACATACTCAGCGAATATTTCAAGCATATCATAATGCTATCGATTTTTCATCTATTTACCACTCAACATAGGCTTGTTCTACTCAATTTTCTCGTTTTTTAGCCAATGCCTTCTTCGTTTTCTTCGTTTTCGTTCAGCTCGTTTCCTTCTCATCAGTAATCAGATCGCTAGCAATCACATCGAACCATCTTCCGTTCAACTACTATACTCCAGATTGAACAATTTTTTCTTCGCATCATTGTCATTATGAAAGTTTCGAAAAAGAAAATTCATAATTGTCACACATATGGTCACTTTCACACTGATTTGAAAATCAAAAATGCATGAACTGCTCCAGAGCAACATTGCCGATTACGGTTTGTGCCGATATTCATGGTCAGTTTCGTGATTTGAAAGGCATTTTTGCAACATGTGGCCATCCGCAAAAGAACAACTACTTGTTTTTGGGTGACTATGTGGATCGCGGCGTTCAGGTTCTTGGTTCATTTGTTAGTGCTTTATTGGTTTTGTGGCAATTGCGCTGATCAGTTGTTTGCCTATGTGTAAAATCACACGCATATTCATTGCATTTCTATGCAGAGCAGCGCATTTCAGGGTATCGAAACCATAACGCAATTGTTATGTTATAAAATTAAGTATCCGAGACGAATTTTCCTGCTGAGAGGCAATCACGAAGATGCGAACACAACGCTCACCTACGGATTTTACGACGAATGCCTTGCAAGATTTCATAATGCCGATCTTGGGGAACAGGTGCGAATGAACTTTTCGCTAGATAGATCGATCAAGATGTACGTACAACATCTTCTGAATGCAAAGCAATCGTAGAGCAAATGAGCTTGTAAAACTGTAAACAACTAGTAAAGTCGATGAAAGTGCGCAAAACCGATTAAGTCCTAGCCGTTGGCAAATGCATCACAACTTTCATAGTGTCCTATGCATTTAATTTCTCATTCAACTAATCATATCAGATCCTATGC